TTCAGGATGGAGAATGACTCAGGGCAACAGGTTCCCTCCACAAAAAGAGAAGTTGCTAGGATTTAAAAACACGGGAAAGCCCCTAAGCCTGAGAGGATTTTCAATTGTCATTTGATAATTACATAGAAAGAGGAAAACCTGAGATATGAGAGCAGTGTTCAGAAATGGAAGAGAAGAGAGTGGAAATCAGAGGAATTTTGGACCCATGTTTGCAATTTAGAGAGGAAAGTGGAAAATCTGAGGGATTTTTTATCAGTTGTTGATAAGAGGTAAAAACAGTGTATTTCATATCAATATTTGATAAATCAATAGATAGAAAAGGGGCAATATTTGCAAAGATTTTATATTCACATTCAAGAATTTGTGAAAAGGGCTAAATCTGAGGTTTTGTGTTAGTATTTTATAATTAGAAAGAGAAAAATCTCAGGGCATATTAAATTAATAATAGATAACTGGAGAGAAAGTGGGGCAAAATTGTGGAGTATTTTATATCCATCATTGATATTGGTAGAGAAATCAGTCACACGCTACGCATTTGATAATATGAGAGAAAACCACCGAGATCTGAGGGAATTCTATATTGATATTAAATAACTAAGGGGAAAGAGGGGATGTTTGAAGGGAATTTATATGAATGGCCAATACATAAACAGAAAGTAATGGTTCCCCGCACCGCCATCATTCACATGGGTAGCAGGGAGCCCTTTGAGGAGCAACTTTAAGAAGGCAAGAGGGGGGGGATGGAGCAGTCAGGAGGCGCAGCCCTGCTCCTGTTCACACCCACTGGGCTAAGAGTCAAAAGGGTGGTGGTGACAACATCTCCTCCTCTCGCTGGGTGTTGCCTGGGACCCTAGTCTGTGGGCAAGCTCAGAGGTTTGCCCCAGATGTCCTGGCTGACCTTAGTCTCGCTGTGCCCTGGTTCCCCTCCTGTACAATGGGGTAAGAACTCTGCCTCACAGGGGTTTGATGTGGCTAAATATGCTAATAGTTGTGAGGTGAGAAGGCTATACAAGGCCCATAGAGAGGTTTGCAATGGGGGAGCCAGGTGGGATGGGAGAAGGGGGATTTCTACACAGAAGGGGATGGGGAAGGGGAGCTCTGCAGGGATGATGGGGGTTGAGGGGCTGGGGAGGGGGGAAAGGATGCCTGGGTGGGAAGGGAGTTGAATAGAATTTGCTGCTGTTTCTCCTTTTCCGCCCCTGCAGGGTTCTCCAGGTGGGATGTGAACAGGAGCAGGGCGGCTCCTCCTGACCCAGCTTTTTCTTTAAGCTGTTCTGGCTGAAAACCCCAGGCCCAATCCAGCTCCCATTGAAGCCTGTGGCCAATCTCCCCTTGTGATGCCAGGGCTGCAGCCAGCTGGCAGGGGGTGAGGTCGAATGGGGGCTTGTTTTCCCCCTGTGCCGGCTCTCCCTGCTCCCCACCGGCAGACACTGGCTCTGCCTCTCCCATCACTTTTGTATGTGTCTGAGGAGCTGAGGGTGGCCTTGGGGGCCTCTTCCTGGCTCCATGGCCAATAGCAGCATGTTGACCCTTGTTGGTTCCAAAGTGCCTTGCGCTCCCCGCCCAGCTGGCAGAAGGAGGAGGGGGTGTCTGAGGGTCAGGCAGGCAGCGGGGTGCAAACAGGGAGCAGGGGCTGCAGACAGGACTCTGGGGGAGAGGCGGAGACGCTGAGGGGTCAGGGCAATGGGATGGGGGAGGGAAGGTGGGTGTAGCTGACATTCTGGTGAGGTAGTGGAGGGGGACGCAGGGGCTTTGCTGCTGGGGATGTCTCCTCTCCATGGCCCACCCTGAGAGAGGCCTCACAGCTCCTCCTTCCAGGGAGGGGTACCTCGGGTGGGATTAGCTCTTTGAGAGGAAAAAGGACATTAGCAGTTCCTGCTCCAAAGCACCAGGAGAAATATTATTGGCTAGCAGCCAAGAACCCGCAATTTCTGTCCCCTTGTTTTTTCTCTGCCAGAGCCCCCTGCCCCATCTCGGGCACCAGCGCCTCTCCCAGGGGACCACACACCCAGTCGGTGCCCCGGCTCTGCCCAGGCAGGCTCCCAGCAGGGTACACTCAGAAATGTGGGCCCCAACTACAAAACTTACTCCAATTTTACCCCAATGCAGGGGCGGCACCAGCCTGTTCCCGGTGGGCAGGCTGAGGTGGGGGGGGGGGGGGCTGAGCTGAGCCTTACCCCTCCCTCACCACAAGGCCCCACCCCTGAACCTCTTCCCTGGCCCACTTGAAGGCCGGAGCTGGACAGTTCGCGGCGCTGCCTTGGGGTTGGGAGCAGGGAGCAGGGAGCAGCGACCGCAGGGGACAGTGCCCAGGAGCCCCGGCTGGAGTGGGTCAGTCCAGATCACTGTGGGCAGGCCCAGTCCGGATCCTCCACCTGCTCTGGGTGGTGCAGTCGGGCCGGTGGGGACACGGGCCAGGGGCTGCTCTCGGGTCCCCCGGCCCCCACCCGGCTTATTCCTGCGCCGCTGCCGGAGCTCAGCGCCGACCAGCAACTGCAGTTCTCTCCACTCTTGGGGAGCAGCAGCTGCTACGGGGTGGGGGAAGGGCTAAGACAAATTTTGGGGTAGCCTGAGCCCCTGCAAGTCCACCCCCAGCACCGCCCCTGCCCCAACACCCCCAAACTGCCTGCTTTTCATGTGCAGTAAGTAGGGCCCTACTGAATTCACGGCTATGAAAAACGCATCACAGACTGTCTGTGAAATCTGGTCTTTGATGTGCTTTTAGCCTACACTACACAGATTTCAAGGGAGAGAGCGGCGTATCTCAAATTGGGGGTCCTGACCCAAAAGGGAGTTGCAGGGGGGGGGTCGCGGTATTGCTACCCTTACTTCTGTGCTGCCTTCAGACTGGGCGGCTGGCGAGTGGGGGAGGTTTAGGTTGGATATTAGGAAAAACTTTTTCACTAGGAGGGTGGTGAAGCACTGGAATGGGTTACCTAGGGAGGTGGTGGAATCTCCTTCCTTAGGTTTTTAAGGTCAGGCTTAATGCAGTGATGTGATATTTTCGGGGGGAGGGATAGATCAGTAGTTTGAGCATTGGCCTGCTAAACCCAGGATTGTGAGCTCAATCCTTGAGGGGGCCATTTAGGGATCTGGGGCAAAAATCTATCTGGGGATTGGTCCTGTTCTGAGCAGGGGGTTGGACTAGATGACCTCCTGAGGTCCCTTCCAACCCTGATATTCTATGACTATGATATGAGGTTAGATCAGCCCATTGATGTGATATGGGGGGGATACCAGGTTAAGTGGGCCCATTGATCTGATCCATTGGCTTGCTTTATGGAGCATCCTATCCCCCCCAGCCGGCCCTGCCCCTCTTGGCCCCTTCCCCCACCGGAGCCCAGAGCGCCCCCCTGTGGTCACTAGCCTCTCCCCCCAGCATGCTCAGCGGGCAGCACATGCCCCCCCCCCCCCCCCCCCGTGACCCCCCAGCCCCTAAATGCTGGGTGGGCAGGCCGCGCACGGCCCCTCCAGCCCCCAAGTGCTGGGCAGGCGGCCCTTCCCAAGCACATGGTGGGCAGCGCCAGGCACCCCCCAGCCCTGGGCACCTCAAGTCCTGGCCACAGGCTGTCCGTGGCCACCTAGCCCTAGCCCCAGCACGCTTCCCTGAGGAGGAGCAGCCAGCCTGCCTGGGCTGGGGCCAAGGGGGAAGGGCAAGCAGGAAGGGGCCTTCTGGGCAGGGCTACACTGGGCTGCTTGGGGAGGCACAGCCAGGACTCCTGAGTTCTATTCCCAGCTCTGGGAGGGCAGTGGGTGTCTAGTGGTTAGAGTGGGGGTTGAGAGCCAGGATTTCTGGGTCCCATCTCTAGCTCTGGGAAGGGAGTGGGGTCCAGTTGTGGTGCTGGCGGTGTGGCAGCACCCCCTGGCTTGAAGTGGTTTCCATCCTGTACAGAGTTTAGTTTTGTTCAATGGCTCTCAGCACCTCCCACTATAAAAATTGTTCCAACGACACTGGGTCTAGTAGTTAGAGCAGGGGAGGCTGGGAGCCAGGCATGGGCGGCGGGGATAAGAGGCCAGGGGAGGCATCTGGCCCGTGCTCCGCCCAGAGGCCCTGCGCCCGCTCGACCTCTTCCCCCCAAGGCCCCATCCTCACTCCGCCCTTTCCCAAGTTCCCATCCGCCCACATGGGGGCCTCAGGGGAGGGGGTGGAGGCGCAAACGGCAGGCAGGCAAGTGGGGGGTCTCTGGGGTGGGGGCAAAGAGGTGCAAGTGGCGAGGGCCTTGGGGGAAGAGACGTGAGAGGTGGGAAGGGGTGGGTGGGGGGCCTCACAGGAGTGTGCCGAGAGAGTCTGAGGGTGGAGTGTGGGTGGGGCTTCGGCAGGAGGAGGCTGAGCGGGAGTGGGCCTTGGGGCAGGGCCGCAGTCCGGGCTTGCCTAGCCTCCCCAAATGGAGGAGTCCCATGCTGCCCATGGAGCCAAGACTCCTGGGTTCTATTCCTGGCTCTCTCACAGACTCCCAATCTGACCTGGCGCAGGCCATATCTCCCTCCCTGGTGCCTCAGTTTCCCCTATGTGTGAGACGGGTATCAGTATGAATGGATGCAAAGCCGTGGAGAATCTAGTCCCTTCTCCCGGAGTCTCCTCGGTAGCCCTGGGTAAGCAGCCAACTGCTCCAGCCCCTGGATGACGTATGGGCAGGCCGGAGCTGAGGGCTAGATCTGAGGAATGGAAAGAATAAATCCACCCTTATCCGACCCCACCCCGGGGTACATGGCTGGGAGGCTGGTGTTGCAGGGGACACTGCCTCCTCCTGGAGCCCTCGCGGAGGAGAAGGGGGTGATTCCCCGGCTTGATTGCTGATGGCGGTGGTGGGGTGGGGGGCACTGATAGATTGTGGTCTCATCTCAGCGGGGATGGAGATGGAGCACGGTCTGCTGGGAACTGATGTCTCCTCTGTATGTGGGAGGGTGACACTGGGACAAATTGTGGGACTCCTGTCCCCCCCACCCCCGGGACAAGGGAGGGGCCTCTCAGCCTTGCCTGCTCTTCTCTCCTTCACCAGGATCTGCCCAAGCAGCTGGCCCAGCACAGGCCCACCTTCCTCAATGCCAGCAGCTTCAAATTCTGGTGAGTGGAGCGGCCGGGGAGTGGGGGCCTCTCAAGCCCACTACGGGGAGCAGGGGCCGGGGCACTAGAGGGGAGGGGATGAGAGAGGGGGGCAAGGGCTGTGACAGGGCGAGGTGGGGTTGGAGAGATGTGTCGGGGGAGAGCTGGGACTCAGGGAGGGAATGGGGCAAGTTGCAGGGAGAAAGCGTAGAGAGGGGGGATGCCACGGGGCGGGAGCTGGGGGGGATGGGAAGCTGCAGGGGAGGGGAGACAGCCAGGGGGAGGTATTGGGGAGGCCGTGGGGAGGAATGCTCAAGAGGCAGTAGGCACAGGTGGTAGGCACGGGTGGGAGCTCGTACGGGGTTGGGGTGTCAGGCCATCGCGGTTCTCCTTGTGAATGCCACCAGGCTCCAGGGAACCCCACGGCTGGCAGATCCCCCTGACTCCCAGCCTTGATTCCCAGCATGTAGCCTGGAGGGGGTGGGAGGGATGTGACTGCCTCAGGGGCATTTACCCCACTCCCACCCCAGGAGGGAAGTGTGGCAGAAGCACAGGACCTGCGCTGGGTGCGTGGAAGCCTTGAGCTCCCCCAGCAAGTGCTTCGGGGCAGCCCTCGCCCTGCGCACCATGTACATCAACGGGTGAGCTGGAGAGAATAGACCCCCTGGGGGGGGGGCACTTCCAAACCCCACCCCACACTCCTTGGTGACAGCAAAGTTCTCATTGGGGCAGGGGCTTGGAGAGGGGTTTGGACTCCCTTGGTTATGGGCCAAGGAATTGGGACACCTCATAGGGCAGGTGGGACTCTGTGGGGGGATCTATCACAAGTAGATCTCTCATGCATGGGTCTATAGGGTGGGAATCTATTATTAGGGGATCTTCATCTGAGAGCTCTGTAGTGAGGAGATCTCTAGTAAGGAGATCTCAGTGTTGGAGATCCATAGTGAGGGGATCTCTCAGTGTTGGGGGTGTCTAGTGAGGGGATCTCAGTGTTGGAGATCCATAGTGAGGGGATCTCTAGTGAGGGGATCTATCACTGTTGGGGATCTCTAGTGAGGGGATCTTGGTGTTGGGGATCTCTAGTGAGGGGATCTCTCAGTGGTGGGGATGTATAGAGAGAGGCTGAGACAATCTGTAACAGGGGTACAGCTCTCTTTTGGGGATCGATGTACAGTACTGGGGTCTCTTGATCAGGAGATCTATAATGGGGTGATCTGCAGGTCAGCACTTTCTCTCAGGGGGATGATTATGGGGTGAATAGGGACTCTGTCAGGGGGTGGTTCTGCCTATTGCGGAAGGTGGGGCTCCCTCTCTCTGGGCAGTGCTCTATGGGGTGGGGTAGGGGCTCATGGAGGAGGCTGGTGGCACTGCAGTGCTGGCATCATGGGGTGATTTTACCTCCCCCCACTCCGGCTTGACCCCAATTCATTTCCCTTTCGCACAGAGCGTTCCAGAGAGCCGGGATCCTCCTGTCCTGCAATCACAGCTACCAGGTGCCCCCTTGTGCTCCTGCCCCACAGGCTCCCTGGGGCCCCATCCCTGGTGTGAGGGGCTTGGCTCATCCCCCCTTGGGATCCCTGGCCTTTTCTGGCTGGGTTTGCCCTTGGCTGCTGATGGTTTGTGGAGGGGGAATTCCTACCTCCCCCTGTCACCACCCCAGTGTCCTGCTCTCTGATTTATCCCATCCTGTTTCTGCAGCTCCACTCCCTTCAGGAGGCTTTGGTTCCCATCATGGGAAAGGAGCATGAGCTGCAGTGCGTGACCCATGGGCTTTCTCATGCTCCCCAGGGGCCTGCAGGCGACAGCTGTGGGGCAGAGTAGGGGACACTGGGGATTCTGGGTAATAAACAATGGGGCAGTGGGTGTGAGCAGGGGCTACAGGGAATTCTGGAAAACAGAGACTGGGGTGCTGGGGTTGGGCAGAGCCCCAGGGGATTCTGGGTAACAGAGAATGGGACACAGGAGTTGTGCAGGAGCAATGGGGGATTGTGGGTGCTGAGGCCAAGCAGCGGTTTGGGGTCACAGAGAATGGGGATGTGGGGCTGGGTAGGGCCGTATGTTTTTGCTGAGCTGAGCTCCTGCTCTACTCCCAGGCCTTCTACACAAGCTATGAGAGGATCTGGCCCTCCTGCAGCAGGGAGTTCCGCAGGTTGATGCACGGCAAAGCTTTTATTTCTGCTCCTCGGTTCTAGGCCTCACCACCCGTCTTCTCTCTCGGTGTGCTGCAGGCCCGCCAGGTCCTGGTGCAGCTCAAGGTCTCTCTCTTCAGCAACTTCTCTGCTGGGTGCCTGGAGGAGGGAACCAGGGATTTCTCCCTCTATCGGCTCTGCGAAAACCAGAGACGCATCTTCTACTTCCCTCCAAACCAGAAGAACCCACGGGACCCCTGCCCCTGCTGGTGGGGAGTGGGAGGGTCTTGTAGCTCAGCAGCAGAGAGCCCCTTTGGGAAGGTTCCCCCAGGGAAGGCTGGAAATCAGGGTCCCCGTCACCAGAATAAAGTCCTCAGGAAGGATCGACTGAGTCTGGTGCGAGGGCTTATTTTGTTAGCATGGCCCCTGCTACAGAACCACGGCCACCGGCTACACGGCACCCAGGCGTCCGGGACACAAAGTGGTTATAAGGGAAACAAATTCCTCCGGCGGAGGGGGTAAAGGGAGGGTGCCCCCTAGACAAGCTGGGAAGCTGGGAGGTGGGTGACAGCAGGAAGCCTGGCCCTCAAGGCTGAGACTCACCAACTCATCACAGCAGTGGCTGCACAAAGTACCACCAGATCCTGTGTCTCTGCACCCCCCCTCCCTGCTGCATCCCTGGTGTGGGGGGGTGTCTGGTCACTGAAGCCCCTCCCACCCCAGGGGGGGTCTGGTCACTGCAGCACACTCCCCCCTCCGGTGAGGGGTGTCTGGCTCATTGCATGCAGCCCCCAACCATCCAAACACGGGGGGGCGGGGAGAGGGAGCTTTCTTCTTGCGCTCTAATTGGTCAGGGCTCTGTCTCCTCTTCCTATTGGCTGTGTCGGGAGGGGCGGAGCTTCCCAGGGCGGGGTTGGGCGTCAGGAGGCCCCGAGGCGCCTCTTGAGCAGCACGTGGAGCGGCCTGGAGCGCGAGAGGGTAAAATTGGTGGGGGGCCCCCTCAAATACACCCCAGCCCCCAACGCCTTCCACCCCGTCCTCTTCTACCCCCCCCCCCCAGATACCTCCCACCCCTCCTCTTCTAGCCCCTGCTCCCCAAATACCTCCCCCCTCTTCTACCCCCCCAAATACCTTCCCCCATCTCTTCTACCACCTGCCCCAAATGCCTTCCACCCTCCCCCCTCTTCTAGCCCCCCCAGATACCTCCCATCCTCCCCCCTCTTTTGCCCCCTGCTCCCCAAATACCTCCCATCTCCTCCTCTTCTAGCCCCCGCTCCCTAAATACCTTCCTCCTCTTCTAGCCCCCTGCCCCAAATACCTCCCCCCTCCCCTCTTCTACCCCCCGCTCCCCAAATACCTCCCATCCTCCCTCCTCTTCGACCCCCTGCTCCCCAAATACCTCCCCTCCTGCCCCTCTTCTAGCCCCCTGCCCCCAA